TATCTATTGTAACCAAATCAAATGTGTTTTCAGACCCTTGAATGTTATTTAAATAATCTTGTCTAAGGGCGATTCCATGAGTGAGTTTTTTTTTCTCAACTCAATTTTTTGTAAATATTTCCTTAATTAACTTCATTTAACACCATATTTAAGATTTATTTTATTTATTATTATGGTATTTATGTATTTTAGTGCATAATCTTTTAGTTAAATCTGTCTGACAAAAGATATTTTGAAAAAAGACTAAAATCCAAAAAGATGAAAATAAAATAAGATCACACTTTTAGCGAATCAGGATTTTAAAAGTTTTCTTGTGACATCTAGAAATGGAACATAAATTTTTTTCAAAAAATTGTGATTAAGTCCAAGAACACAATGACTCTAAAAGCGTGGGGCTTTAAGATTTGACGCTTCTCTTACTTAAGAACTTAGTTGAACTAAGAAATTCATCCTTGAATTACGCCCCACGCTTTTAGAGTCATTGTGTTCTTGGACTTAATCACAATTTTTTGAAAAAAATTTATGTTCCATTTCTAGATGTCACAAGAAAACTTTTAAAATCCTGATTCGCTAAAAGTGTGATCTTATTTTATTTTCATCTTTTTGGATTTTAGTCTTTTTGATAAAAGCGTGTTTTTTAAAAAGTTTTTTTAACATTTTTTTTATTTGCTACTTTTTAGTCTCAATCTTTTAATCGAATATCGACCACAACAATTCAAATTCAACTCCACTTCGTTTTACTCCGTTTTGTTCAACTGTTTATAGATTACATTTGTTCATTCATTTGTTTTATAGAATTTAAGTCATACCTGGAAACAGATGAAACTTCTTAAAAAATATCCTGAACTTCAATTATGTGCGCTTTCTGTGTTTTTTAAAGCATTCATTAGTAAAGTACATTAAAAAAATGAATCTTGGAGATTTTGTGTTTATCTGTACCATTTCTACTTCATAACGTGTGGATTCTTAGCATAAAGATGCATCTCACATATGTAACGTATTTATAACGGATTTTTCAAATTTAATTCAATGAATGTCATTTGTATGTTATGCAAATATACTTCAAGCCGTTAATAAATAGAAAAGTAAATTTAATTAAGTTGGTGAAGTTTTATAAATAATGTAATACATTAAAAACAGCATAAATTTATGCTCAAACTATGTGTGCTAAATGCACATCGCATATTGATAGTTATCTTGCATTAATTCGTAACGGACTTGTGCTTAACGGTTTTTTTGAAAATTCAAATTTTCACTTACGAATATTCATGAAAAAATTACATGTCAATTTTTTTTTTCTTACCAGAATATCTTTAGCTGCTCAAATTTATAGTATAATTAATATTTAGTAATATTAATTAAACTATAATGAATCATATAAATGACTTTTGAGCATTTCAAGTATAATATTTTAAACAAATCAAAATTTTATATCATTGACATTGGATTGTTTTCCCATATAAAAAAGTTTTACTTAAATTGTACTATTATTAAGCATTTTTGTGGTTTCAAAGTGTTAAAATATTGTATTGTCACCGGGAATACGTGTGAATAAAAAATTTGAGCTCGATTGGAGCAGCAGAAGTGGTCGAAAAATCGATTGCAAGTTTTGAACGTGACAAAGAAACCAACAGACAGAGCAACTCAATAAAAAGCGTGTAAAAACCAAACTTAATCGGTCAACTTTACGAAAAATTGATTTTTAAATTTTCATCAATATTTCTTGGAATATCCATTGTTGTGTTACAAATCTATGATAAACACACGTGAAATCGCCTGTGCTTTATAACAATATCTTATTTGTATGTCTTTCTACTATAATTAAGGAGAAAATTGGGGAAAACACTTAATCGGTCAACTTTCAACCGATTATTGCAAAACATATTACATATTTTTGTCAAAATGCAGCATAATTAAGACGATTAAATGCTAATAACACATGAATTGATGAATAATAAGTCTTATTTAGTGAAAATATATGTTGAAATATGTATATTTAAGCAAAAAAATCAAAAAAAGTTTTTGAACAAAAAATTTTCAGTTCCATTTACTCATGGAATCGCCCCTAATAGAATCCTCAATATTATTTATTATTTCATTGATAGAACTAGTGAAAGCCTTATTAAACTCGTTTGCTATAGAATTTGGTACATCATAAATCACATCTTTTATTTTAACAAAATTAATTTTTTCATTTTTTGAATTATATAAACTTTTTAAGTTTATCCATAGTCTCTTAGAATCATATTTATTAGCCATAAGTTGGTTACGGAATTCTTCGTTTTTTTAACTCTTAGTTTATACTTATAGCTCTTGTTAATATTATTAAATTTCTCGTAATCATTTACTTCACTACTTAGTAAAAAGATATCGTAAGCTAATTTTTTATCACTTTTTAATTTTTTTAATTCATCATCAAAATTAAATTTCTTTTTCTTAAATTTTTCTCTCTTAATAAAATTTGAAATTGAAGACCCTATAACTTCAAAAAATTCTTGAATATTTTCAATACTTTTTAACTCACATTTTTCATTTATCATGCCACAAAATTTTTCTTTTGCATAATTTCTTATTACATTCACCTCAGAATTCTCACACTTCAAGTTAACAATTTCATTATATGTAATGAGTAATAAGGAATGATCAGATATTTTATCAACCCTATTTATTACACATGATGTTCTGTCATTGTTAACTAGAACGTGATCAATAATGGACGAAGAATTATTTTTAATATCAAAACGCGTAAAATCTTTAACAATTTGCTTTAAATTATGTTCTTTAATTACATTTATATAGTCCTTCACTGTTTTGGTGTTTCTATTCACGTTAATGTTGATGTCACCAATCATAATCTGAGGGGCTGTGTAATCCAAATATTTCGATATGTACTGTTCTAAAAAATTAAAAAAATCATTAGGTTTTTGTGCGGGGGATTTGTATTCTATTGTTATCTATAAATTTGCATCCTCGATAATTATTGTTGCGAACCATGATTTATCATATGCTACAGTTGCAATTTTATTGAATTTAATTCCTTCTCTTATATAATATAACTCCTCCAGTATGACGACTATTAGAGTCGCATCACACTGTATTATATTCATCAATTTGTATTTCATTCTCCAATATATCACTTGTTATATGCGTTTCAGATAAACATAAAATATGTGGTCTTTTCTCATTCATAAGCACTCTTACTGGTTCAATATTACTTATTAAACTTTGAGAGTTAGTATAAAACACTTCAAATGATGATTGCTACAAGTCTATGGATCTCATAAGCGATTTAAATGCCTTTTGATAGCATGGGCATTCAAAATCAATAATTGAATGCTTTACATCTAATTTCGCATTCTTATTTTTTTTGTTATATTCAGTACAATTGTTGCAACTAACTTCTGCTGTACATTTTTCCTTTTTCCACGTTTTTCTTAACTTGCTTTTTTATGATTTCTTCCACCACACTTGATGCAAATGTTCTCATTTTCGTCGCAAATATCGCAATCACCAGCTTTGTGGAATATATATCGTTGGAAAGTTAATTTAAACAGCTTAAATTAAAAGGTAATACAAATACTTTTTGTCAAGCATATAGTGTATTTAAAGTCATTTACATCTCATTGAAAATGGAAAATGATGACATTTCAAATAAAAATGGTCCAAGTCGATTAGCCATCAGACCAATATTCAAATATAGTTGTCCAGCATTTGGAAGCATGGCAAAAACCCACCTTTGCATTGAGAATTGTTCTCAATAAAACAAGATATGAAAGGATCACAGATCTTCATACAGAAGCGAAAATACCGTCCATCGAAGACTACGTCGAAAAGTTGCAAGCGAACTTCAACAGTCGTCTTGTGTCCCAAAACGCCGAATAAATCAAATTAAATACATAAGAAAGTAAAATCCGTTAATCAAATCAAAAATTAAGTGACAAAAGGCAAATTGAACATACCTACATTTAAATGCAAATAAGGCCAATTCTATGGATGACTTTTGGAAAATTTTCAGCAAAAAATCGAAATTTTATTGATTTTTCCCATCAGAGACACTGATTTTATGATTCTTATCGGTGTAAAAATCTAAAATGTACACTACTTTTGATATCATATACTTCTAATCGCCGTATTAATTAAGTTATTTGGATTCTTTAGTCAATAACTCGATGACAGAAATCGGAATTATCAATTTTCATCATCCAAAGAATCGAAAATTAGAGAAAACTATTGATATCCACATTGAATAACTTTTACTGAGTTATAGAACAGACAAAAATCTTTAATCTTTTGGCTCATTATTCCTTCACAGTTGTATGAAATTAAAGAAAACATTTTATTGACACAAAACTCATTGACATTGGATTATGAAAGCTCATTTTTTTTCAAATTCCACTCATCCAAAGAATTGCCCATATAACAAAGATATTTAAATAAATTTGTAAATGTAAAATGTAAAATGTAAATTTAAAAGATACATACAAAAGATATTTAACCGTCTTTTTAGATTTAAAAGAAATAAAATAAAATTATGAACGTTCAGGGGGGGGGGGGGGGGGGGGAATTGTGAGTTGTAACATATTGTAACAATGGGGGGAGGGGGTGAACGGCCCCTATAGAGAATTGCCTATTTGGTAAATGCTGTCGTGATGAAAATATACCTTTAAGCAAATATAAAAGTTAATGCAAGATTTTATAATGCATAAAAAAAACTTATTTTGTTTTAGACATTTTTTTTAAGTTAATGTTTTATTTAGTGCTTTTTAAACAATTAACACCAAATGTTTCTTCAAAATAGCTCTTTGTAACGTATGAAAAAAACAAAACTCAATGATTGAAAGTGTAAATAAAAAAAGTTTAAATTGCGTATATTTTTGAAATTTTTTAAAATTTAAATTTGCTTTTACAAACAAAAAATCATAATTTATAGCAGAAAAAGTTGATTGATAATGATTAATAAGGATTTGAATAGGAAATTAGGTTAAAATTGAAAAAAAAAATTAAGCAACATAACTATAAGTGTCTTTCTGTCCTTCCATACGTTCAAGATATTCCTTCTCAATCAAAATATCTATACATTTTTTGATGATTTGAACCTTTGGCTTGAATCTGGTCGAAAGTTGATTCAAAACCTCATTGACCAATTGAGTGTGATTTAAGACTTTACGCATTTTCATTATACGAACTATTGCAGCTTGAATCAGCATTTTGCGGTCTTCCTCAATGTGCTTATGAGTTACTTCCTGCTCTGCTTTTTGCTCTGATTTTAGCGGGAAATTTATGTTTATACGCAATTTTTTGCTACATTAAAGAAATTGAAATTCATTATTATACACTTCATTAAAAAAAAAACATTACTTCTTATATCCCAAGTATAGTGAAATATCTGTTTCAGGTTGTAACTGACTTTCATCAACATCCGCCTCAAGTAAACGAGTTTTTAGAAGAATGCCAAGAATTTGTTGCATATTATCAAAACTTATACCTTAAAAAAATGAAAAAAAAAGGAATGTTAATAATGGTATTTAATTTAATAAGATTATAGATACCTGTGTTATCCATCAGTTGCTGAAAAGTCCATTTTGTTTGGTCGTTATATTGCAACAAAATTGCCATTTGAAAGGTATTTGTCTGTGAATTATAAATGTTTTTCAAATTTAACTCAAAAAATAAAAAAAAAGATTACAAGATATAGTATTACCTGCAAGATATAGCGATTTCGGAAGCAGTTAGTCATAATTTCACCTTTACACATATTATACAACCAATTCAGTTTTCTTCCACTGTGTAGCTTTGAATAGAAACTATTAAATCGCTGATAAGACTGCTCCAATTCACTGGGCAATCGAAATGGAGTGCTTTGGACAAAGGGCCATGATCCAGATGACAATACTTGAATGCTAAAATCTATTTGATTTGACAGCTGAGAATTTTCCTTCATAAAGTTTTTATATTTCTCATTTAAATCTTTACTGAGACCAATATCCTGAAACATTCTCTGCAGTTTGCTGGTATATTCAAATCCACATGCCTGCTTTAATTTCGAGATCATGGATGCTTCTGCATCGTCGCTTGCCGACATATGAAATACAAGTCTTTTGGCTAACATTTTGCTGTAGAACTTCTGAAATACATCCTTATCGGTTATGTACTTGAAAACAATCATTACATGATTAAGTGTATCTTCAAGCTCAGCTTCTTCCGGATTCTTGCTGCTTTTTTTCAACAATATATCACAATATTTGGCCAATAATTCTGGCGAACGACTTTCATTTTTGCTTGCTTGTGTCACACAATTAGAATTAATGAATTTATTACACGCTTTATCTAGTGCTGCGACAAATCCACTGTCATTATTGAATGCAGTCATCACTAGACTGTTGAATTTCATATGAACTTCTAAGATTGTTTGAACGTAAATTTTCGGATCATTTGTTGCAGCATCACCACATTTGTCAATTGCTTGCTGGCCTTGACTATTAATATGATTTTCAAGGGCAACTTTTAGGTCTGCTAAACCGTCTGCTGTACGTGAAACAAGCATATACATACGAGCAAGATCATCATTTTTATCGGAATTTAATAAATTTTGAAACTCGACCCGAAATGCGTCCAAATGTTTATGAATTAATACAGTTTCACAACGATTTGCCAAAGGAGACTGTGTAGACTCATGCAAATAAACTTGTACTCTTTTCTTCTCTTCATTTAAGCGCTGCTCAACTCGCTTCATGTATTCTGTAACAGGATTAACTGACAAAAACTCATCAGACTCTCGAGTGTAAAATTGCTCAGTGTCTTGCAAAAACTGATTTTCAAAACTCTCTTTGTACACTTTTAGATTTTGTCCTTTTGCTTGTGGATCTTCTTCATTTAATCCTAACTCAACGTAGCAGTTAATGACCTATTTTTTGTTTAAGAAGAGAAATTAATGAAAATAAATCGCGTATTTAGATATTTGCAATTTTTAGCGCATTCTTGAAACTTGTTTCGAAAAGGTAGCTTAATAATTCACTTTGTAAAAGTGTAATAAAAACTTTTTAACCAGACATCAAAGAGAGCTCGGGCCCAGGCACTCTATAATATAGAGATCGAAGCCGATTTTTTCGGCTTAACTCAATTTTTGATTTTTTTGATAGAAAAAAGCCATTTGACACCCGTTTCAAGTATTTAAATTGAACTTTACATGCTTTACTATGATTCTGTGTAATATTTTGTCAGCATGTAGCTATAGTGAGCTCAGAATTTCAATTTAGCCGATTTTAAGCCGATCGGCTTAAATTTCGGCTTAACATTCTTTAACTTGAAATTCTGAGCTTCCTATAGCTACATGCTGACAAAATATTACACAGAATCATAGTAAAGCATGTAAAGTTCAATTTAAATACTTGAAATGGGTGTCAAATGGCTTTTTTCTATCAAAAAAATCAAAAATTGAGTTAAGCCGAAAAAATCGGCTTCGATCTCTGCTATATTTTGCTATTTAATTCGCCTTAACTTGCTAATCAAATACTGATCGCTGGTTCAAAAATGCGCTAAAGTCCCTCAAACAATAAATCAAGTATTTAAATAATATTGCTTTTTATCGCATTTTTTTTATATATAAAGTTAAAAAAATACACATACTCCCGAAACTAAACTGGAATTTATTGTATCGCCATTGCGTTCGCTCTCAATTAATTTCAGTACAGCATTAGTAACCTTGATTTGAGAGAAATTAGATAGAACAGAACAGATATAATGAATAGTTATTGTATCTATGTAATGAAGAAGAAAGCGTCTTCTTGGCATGCATTTTGTATCGTAAGTTATCAAGTAAATAATATACGTACTTGCTTATTGAGCTTTTTAAATAAATTATCTCGCCATGTGACGAGTGCAAGTTGATAAATTTCATAAATATCTTTTCGTCCTTCTTCACATTCTCGACGAACCCAATGTCGATTTAGATAAGCGCACACGCCATTCAACACTTTACTAGAAAATTGGTATTCTTCCCATTCCTTTGTGTAAAATGTTAAGACATCCTCGCCCATTAAGTCAATTCCTTTTCCTTCCAATTGAATTAGATAATTTTGAAGAAATTCTTTGAGGCGCTTATATAGTTCCAAACCGACTAGTTGAGCACCGCCCGAAACTGGCAATTGCTGAGCACCTGTTCCAGTCCGTCTTACCGTCTTACTCGTTGTCGATCCTCGCAAAACTGGTTGTTGATGTACACTTGTGCAATAGTTATAGACATGTCTTTAAATGAATTTTCAAATATCGATTATTGAAGGACAAATTGACAATGATGTTAATAGAAGTAAGAATAGAAATAATTACGTATAAAGTTGCATGTATCGGGGAACAGCCATCTTCTGTTCGCGTTTGTAAATTTGTTTTATTCCTTCTTCCAGATCTGCCCATATTTCCTCTAGATTTATATTCCGTAGACCAGTATTACTACTAAAATTAGGTCTTGCCATTCTTCTATCAAAAAAATTCACAGTAAAATAAAGACGATGTCACTTGATAACTTGTTATCGCTTTCTTTGTCCTTATCCTCTTTTTTTCTAATTACGTTTTATGGTGAAAACAATAACTCCTCAGAAATTAGAAGCTGAGAATTAAAAAAAAAAGCATATTAATTAAAGGACTAATGACTTCTTTTCTTTTGTGAATTGTCACGTAACTAATATCCATTGAAATTTATGCAATTCATTCAATTAATATAAGTTGCGAAATTAAAAAAAAATTACAATTCAGTTTTTATTTTTTGATTTGATTTGAAATTTTCATTTAAATTTTCCAACAAATCCTGATTAGTTTTTTACTTTACAGCACGACATTCTAGATCATTAGCACTCAATAAATGTGTTTACATACCTTACAAATCAATCAAAATTCCAGAAAGTCTTTTACAAAAAAAAAATTCAATTTATAAAGATTTTAAGAAAAAAGAGCCATGAAGTTCAATAAAGTTCAATCATGTTTGGTTTAAATGACAAAAGATCGTTATTGTTTTTGAAACTTCCACACCCGTTTCATAGATATTGAAGTTAAATAAATTACCTACCTGCCCTATTTTTACGTTACTGCAAGTGGCTTATGGGATTAAAAAAAATTTTTAAAATCATGAAAAATACTTTATAAAAAAAACTTTTTAAAAAAACCACGTTTTTACCCGTGGACTGAAAAGTAGAAAATAACTTTTTTATTGGGTTCAAAGGATGTTGGTTTGAAAATTTGAGATTGATTTGAAAGTTTCATACTAAAGTCATGATCATTTAGAACAATTTAGAATTACAAATTTGTTCACTTCGACCATATTGTATAGTTCTACATCTTAAAACGTGGGTGCATTTATACGTAATTTAAGCTCTCCAAATATACAATATTAATGAATATATACTAGAACTAAACCATAGAAAGTCTTTATCGATCAGCTGTGCTATCGCACAGCATAAGTTTGTAAACTAGAATTAAACCATAGAAAGTAGTATAACGTATTTTTTGTGATTCAAAGTTATAACAGCTTTTTGAAATTTAAAATTATTGAAAGTTGTTCATATGTTATGTAAAAATAAGCTAAGCCTTAAAGAGTAGAAAATTTAATTTAATTGTATTATAATTAAGCATTTTTAAGTTTCCAAAATGCTTGAATATTGTATTGTCATCGAAAAGATAAGTGTATGCAAAATTTCAGCTCGATTCGAGCAGTAGAAGTGGTCGAAAAATTGATCGCAAGATTTGACCTCGACAAACAGATAAACAGATAAGGACAAATCCATGAATAAACGGTACTGCGAAAATCGACTTAGAATTCTTCTCAACTTGATAAATTCAAAAAAAGCGTTAAAACCAAAAAATAATTAAGTTTAATTTACTTCCTGAATTATTTTACCTATCAAAAACAGTGCCAATTTACATATTTTAGATCTATGATGACTAATCATCTAATTTAAGACTTAAATAATTAAATTTATTTTGTTTGGAGACAAATTTTAACGAATTTTTCTCTTTCAAACTGTTTTGGATTCATTTGTGTTTTGCAATAATAAGTCGAAAAATTAACAGACTGACGCTAATTTTGTAAATATCTCTTTAATTAAGCATTTTATTGAGATAGAAAGAACACATAATTAAAGCTAAGACGAGCGAAAATCTAATGTATATCTTTTCTCGACGTTAAAATGCATATTTAACTAGAAAATGGAAAAAGTGTAAAATTCAATTTTCGTAGAGTTAACAATCAGACGCTCTCCAAATTGAAATAACTCATTAATTAAAGCACATAGAAAGCTGAATTGTTGAAAAAAAATATTTAAATTAAGTTTTTCTATCATATTGAGTTTCAAAGCACAAAGCTAATCAAGCCGTTTTTGAGAAATTTGCAAAAGATGAGGTTTTTTGTAGAAAAATTCTTTCGTGGATTTGCCCATAAACAGATAAGAAAACAAGTTAAGAAAAACGTGGTAATAATAATAATAAAATAAAAAGGCTTAATAACGGATAGTGGCGTGTTAAAAAATGTAAACAAACAAAAAAGATCAATAATTTTTAATGAAATCCTAAAATTTTCAAGTCCAAACTATTTTGAAAACATTCAAGATAATTACCATTAAATCATTTTTAAATTATTTTTTTTTTATAGTTTAATTAATAGAAAATTGGTAGTGGCTTAATAACGAAAAAGAAAAATTTTCAGAGCCTATTTTATTTACAAAGCTCCTGGCTTAATGCGAGTAGTGTCTTTTAACCAGAGTTGCGATCTGTCACAGGTCAACGAAAACAGCCCACCTGTCACAGACCGTTACCTGTTCACCGTTCAAATTTTTTCGACTGTCACAGGTCTGACCTGTCAAAGGTTCTGCCTGTCACAGGCCGTTACCTGTTCACAGGTCAAATTTTTCCACCTGTCACAGCTCTGACCTGTCACAGGTGAGGCCTGCGACACTGTTAAGTAAGTAGTAAAAATCTACCTGTCACAGGTTTGACCTGTCACCTATCACAGGTCACCTTTAAGTTAAAAGGCTTTAACCATGGAAATTTTATTCCTCTTTTATAGTATAAAGATTTAATATAAAATTCGTCAATTTTTTTCATCCTTAAGTCACTGGTTCAAATCTCACAGCAAGCAACTTTCTTTTTTTTTCTTTTTTATGATTTTTTTTAAATTTTTTGATAAAATATTAAGTTTTATGATAAATTTTTCCATTTTCATATTTTCTTTTTTCATTTTCCAAATTTTAACATGTATCATAAATTTTTTCCATACATTTTCATACAATTTTAACTTTTTTTGTCATAATTTGTACACTTTCAAGTTTAATAAGCTAAAATTTGATATACAGGCTCTTTTCTTAGATCTGGATGTTCTATAATCAAAATCCTGTGATTGGTCAAAATCAAATGCACTTATTACGTTCGCATTTTAGGGGGGAGGGGGGTTTGAAAAAAGTCGTTTTTTTGCGTAACGTAATAAGTGAACGGCCCCTTTCCTTTATTCTCAAAAAAGCAAAAAATTTGAAAAACTGAACTGAAATAAATTGCAAATAGTGAGTTGCAATAAAAAATGTTATTCTCAACATTTACAACAGTGGTGCAAACTCGGTTGTCTTTTTTGGGTTCAACCCCCCCCCCCACCCCCCCCTCCTGCGCTTTTTTAAAAAATCTTCAATTTGGTAGGGTGTTTTGAGAAAAAAAAAAGCCAAAGCCCTTTCAATCCCAAAATTTTTTCCGTTCATGCAAAAACAAAATTCAGAAATTCATAACTCGTCCAAAAAACTGTTCAAATCATTATTTTATTTTTATTTTTTTATATTAATGTTGAAAATCAAAAAGTACCGTTGATTCTAGCTTTTGCACAGTTCATTTGAAAAAGAATAAAATTTTAACATAATTTTAGAATTTGTCAGTCATTTTGAATGTGAAATTATTTTCAAAATATTATAATTATAATAAAATATTATTTAAGGGCGATTCCACGGAAGAATTTTTACAATAAAACCGACTTTAAATCAAATTTTCTCTCTAACAAATGACTTTATAGCTCCAGTCTTAGCACTTACTTATGTGAATCACCGACATCTATCTTTATGTATAATTAACTTTTGTCATCAAGCTTTAATTAATGAAATATTTGGATTTTTGTCAGCGTTGGTACATTACACAATGTTTAATTCTGACTTTGAAAGCAGAAATTTCCGACTTTAAAGACATCTAGACAACTATTAATGTTTGTTGTGCCGTTCATTCTATCATTTTTATGATTCTGCATACTTAAATTGACTTAAATGACACTCAATAGACAGAAAAATGAATAATTTTAATGCATTTCATGTAATATACCAACGCTTATCCATGAGAAAATAATTTTTCAAAAGCAACTTTTACTTTAATTAACAATTATTCCTTTGGTTAGAATGTTGTTTCTAAAAGTTTAATAGTCAATGAAGATCTTTAACGGCGAAGGTGAAAGTATAGTTTTGAAGCAATCAAATTTTTAAAGAACATGGATCAAAAATTTATTATTTTCGAAATTCAACTCATTCATGGAAGCAGCAGAGAGTAATAAAGAGCAGAAAAGTGTAAAAAATTACAGAAGTCCTCGTATTATAAGTCGAGGGACTTAAGCGCATTTTTGTGTTAGCGATCAATATTTGATTATCTAATTATTTTGTGTTCACTTACAGATCAAATAATTACAAAGAATTTTCATATAGAAAAGGTTTTTCATTTAGAAATTTCAAGCCCCGCGCTTAAAAACGTGGAACAATTTTATTAAATTAATTAAACAGTTTTCAAGTTATATTAGTTGAGAAAAACTTCTTATTACGTGCCAAGGGTTGTGTTTTCCTCAAGGAAAATGAGGAAAGTCAAAAGAACGCAAGGTTTGTCGCCAAAAATTGATTTGGACGAAAGTTCAATTAAATCTAATGAAAATTCCAAGAAGAGGAAGCAATCGCCTCAGAAAGAGGAATCATCGGCTCCAGTCACAACAACAACTTCAGTCAAGCCAATATTTGTGCAATGCAGTCTCAAGGATGTGAGAAAATTAATTTCACTATTGAAATTGCAGGTTATGACTGCATATAAAATTTCATCATCAAATACAACTCAAGTAATTGTCAAGTATATTGAGGATAAGGCCTCAATAATAAATCTTCTGCGGTCTCAAACTATTCAATTCCACACCTTCTCCGAGAAATCGGAGAAAACAAAGTCATTCGTTCTGAAAGGATTTTACGAAACACCAACGAATGAAGTACTAAGATTACTTCAAGAAGCCAAGGTTTCAGCTGTCCGAGTTCACCTTTTATCTTGTGCATTTTCAAGATGAAAGTGTGAACATCAACGTGCTCAATCATAACCACCGTAACATCGACAACATCATCGTCAAGTGGGAGAACATCAAGAAGGGCAACAAAAGCCCAACGCAGTGCTTCAACTGCCAACGTTGGGGTCACTCATCTCAAAATTGTGG